GGGGGGGGGGGGGGGGAAGTATTTTATAGACCAACTAGCCTAGTCCCAAAAATAGACTTATGAGGAAGTTCCCACTAGTCATATAAACTTTTGCCTTGGATGCTTTTTCAGACAGGCATTCAGTTAAAGTCAGTAGCATCAAGTACTTGCTATTAAAAAACAGAACAAAACCAAAACCCCCACTCAATACATATTTGTTTTCAAGGAAAAAAATTAACGGTACTCAGCTAAAACATTGTAGATTCAGAAAATTACCTCAATACATGAGCTATGCATCATGCCAGAGTAAGTCCTGAAGGTTATGTTGGCTGGATTTAGCATACTCTTTAGCTTCTCAACAGTCAGAGAACCAAACATTAAAGGAACCAATGGGTCACAGTCCCCATGGCACTGAAGAACAGCAATCTCCTTGTTAACACCACTGATAGGGCCCTGTTAGGGGTGGAATTAGAGAGAAGAAAGAGACAGTAAGTGAAGGTAAGGCTAACATCTTTGAGATAAAATAACCCCATGCACTATGCCCTGTGGCATGACAAATAGGTTGAATTTTGAAGGAAAAAAACAGTGTATAGTCTGCAAGTTCCTTATGAAGTAAGCTCTGTGCCTGACAACACATTAAGTTCAAAAACCTGCAAATAAGATTTTGGCAATAATTTCAGGAGAACATGATATCTGGCCGAGTAAAAAACATGATGCTTTGTTTAAATACCTAGTTATTAATAATACAGTGCCTTGCAGATTTGAACAAATAGCAAACAGAAAATTCATCTTCACAGAAAATTTGTTGTATCCTATAAGTTTCCTAGGAATGTCTTTTTAAGCAGAGATAGCTGCTGAGTATTTCTTCATTTTCCCTACTTGCCAAACTCTCAAACTCCAGGGCCCTGTTTTTAAAACTTCTGAGTTATCAAACAACTATCAATATTCGGTAATAACGATGGCCACTAATACCTGCACAAGATACAATCACAGAATCATGGAATGGTTTGGGTTGGAAGATCTTAGGGACCTGGGGGTCCTGGTGGACAACTATCTTAATATAAGCAAACAGCGTGCTGCAGCAGCAAAGCAAGCCAAAAGGATGTTGCATCAACAAGGGCATCACCAGCAGAGATAAAGAAGTCCTCATCCCACTCAGAGCTTGTCAGGCCACACCTGGAATACTGTGTTCAGTTTTGGTCACCACCATACAAAAAAAGACGTGGACAGGCTGAAGAGGGTCCAGAGAAGGGACTGGGAAGCCTGCCATATGAGGAAAAGCTGAGAGAACTGGGTTTGGAAATCTTATCACCAGTATTTACAGGGTGGCTACAAAGAACATGGAGACTCCCTTTTTATAAGGAGTCACATGGAAAAGATAAGGGGTAATGGATACAAGTTACTCTTGGGAAGATTCCAATTGGACACAAGAGGAAAATTTTTCTCAGTGAGAACACTCAGCCACTGGAATAATCTCCCCAGGGAAGCGGTTGATTCCCCAACATTGGACACCTTTAAGATTCAGCTGGACAGGGTGCTGAGCCATCTTGTCTAGACCATGCTTTTGCCAAGAAAGGTTGGACCAGGTGGTCCCTGAGATTCCTTCCAATTTGATATTCTATGATTACCTAGTTCCACCATCCCCGCCATGGGCGGGGACACCTTCCACTAGACCAGGTTGCTCACAGCCCCATCCAGCCTGGCCATGAACACTTCCAGAGAGGGGGCAGCCACAACCTCTCTGGGCAACCTGTGCCAGTGTCTCAACACCCTCACAGTGAAGAATTTCTTCCTTATATCTAATCTAAATTTACCTTCTTTCAGTTTAAAGCCATTACCCCTTGTTGTATCACTACATGACCTTGTAAACAGTCCCTCTCCAGCTTTCTTGGAGGCCCCCTTTAGGTACTGTAAGGCTGCAATCTTCAGATACACTCATTCCCCAAGTACAAACTAGCTTAGGAAAGAAACATAAATACCTGAGGAAAAGAAGCCCGTAGAGGAAGCCAACAGCTAAGGGCTACAACACCTGCTAATTTTTGTTGTGTTGTAAGAGCTGTATACAATGATAAAGCACCTCCCTAAGAAAGAGATTAAAAAAGTATTACAATGCTGATGGCAATGTTCCTTTTAACACTTGTTTCAAGATCTCTAGTTTCTCCTTTAAAAGTATTTTTTCTGTTCCAGTGTATTCTTCCTTAGAAGCAACACTAAAACCAGTATTCTTGTACATTTAGTTTGCTTTTTTCCCCGCTCCAAGTCTGTATGATCAGTTCAGAAGTAAACCAGCAAATTTACCATAACTAACAGCTGGGGAGGGGGAGGGAGAAAGCAAGCTCTATCACTCATGACAGTATTATCACTACTTTAATATTTTAATTTATTTGCATGCAGACTGGGGAGTTAGTGTATGGAACAACTAATCTGTTAACCTACCTACCACAGATGTCTTACAAGTACAAAGGAAAGAATTTCCCAAATAAATCCAGAACATGAAATGTCTACCAAATTAAATTAAAAATACCAGCAAGATTTTCAAGCAAAGCTATATAGTCATGTGCGTAAAGACTTTAAATAGACTACTAATTTTAGTACCTTTTCACGTGCATGTTCATTTTTCAATGATTTCAATGATTTCAATGATTTTCAATTATTTGCATAGAGCTAAAAAATTTTGTTTGTTAAGGCAAAGGAAAATTGACACCTTAAAATTTTAGAAACTAGTATCAGCTCTTTTCAATTCAAACGTCCGGACTTCCCATGTTAGGAAAGCTAGGTTACTTCCCTAGAAAAAGACACAGTTCCTTCCAACCATACCTTACCTGAGAAAAGCCTCCTAGAATAATTCGATTAGAAGGAATTCCATTTTTTACTTCTTGATCTATCAGTGCTTTAACTGCAACATACATAAAGGCAGTAGTTAAACAACATTCCATTCTACATCTACAGAAGGTCTAGAAAAGGAAAGAGACCTTCCCCCTGATGTCAACAGAAAGCTAGTGAAAGGATAATCTAGTCTGCTATATATTAAAAAGTATCAAAAGATCTAGAGCATGATCAGAAGTTTCAGTACCAGAGAGAAAAACATGCAAGCAAGTCTCACAAAAGCCTCACTGCCAGGAAGGTGGTATCCTCTTCTAACTATCCAGCATCGCAAGTGGATGCTTGTACAGCTCTAATCTGCTGTGCTACCTAGAAGCTCTTAAGAAATACACTGGTTCCCATGTACAGTTCATATTTGAGAGTATGAAGTGTTTATGCTGGTGAGTTACTCTATTTACTCATCAAGTTAAAAACAACCCCAAACAATACAAACAATGCACTTCACTAAACTTTGATCAGCAATAATACAATACATATATATTACTTTCGTTAGTAATTTTGTCTTTAGAAAATCTGTTTCAGACTGATAATTCATTTTTAAGAATATATGGAAGTACTTTTAAGACATAAAAAGTATTTCTAAGCATACCGTTCTCTGCTGCCTGCTTGATCCCAACTTCATCTTCCTGTGAATCTGGAGAAAGTCCAATGATATCAAACCTTACAAAAATATCAACAGCATTACTCATTAGAGTACCCATTCCACTTCCTTAAAACACAAATAATAAAACTGGAATATTTTCCAAATAAAAATGTAGAAGTAGTGGACAATTTCTGAGTGCGGCTAAAAGGCTAGATCTAGTCAACAAAGCTTTTCTGAGTTTTAATATCTTCTGTAATTTAGTGCAGATTAAGCAGCTCAGTTTTGATATTTGCTCCAAAAATATCAGCAGGAATTTCAATTTATCAGTTGCATGTACAAAATTAAAATACTGTTTGAAGAAATATAGGAAAACCAAACACAGTTACTTGAGGAAAAAAAACACAAAAACAAACCACAACACAAAGAGGACTAGTTTAAGACCACTGAAATCTACTGTTATTTTTGTTGTTCTCCATTCTGAACGGATGTTCTAAAGAAGAGTTTCTAGGTATCCTACTGACCCACCAAATATTAGTCAATAGCAGGAATAATACTTCCACTCCAAGTCTCTCCTGCTACTATGAATTCATACACAATACAGACGATAAAGTGGGGTTTGTGTTTTAAAACATACAGGTTAGTCCTGAGAATACCCATTACTACAGATACACAAGGAGAATTACAATGTACTCATGAGAGCCTTTTTGTAAGAACAAAACTAAAGCAAAAAGCTTTTTATACTTACACGTGATTTAAAAAAACAGCCATTCAGGTTGTTCAGGATTTCTGATGAAGAACAATGAGTTGAAACCCCCAGATCTTTTGATTAGAATTATTTGCAGTTGAACAAATACTTACCATGATGGCATAGCCATGTTCATGTTCAAAGAAACCGGCATAACTGGCCTAGAAATGAGAACAAACAATACTGACATAAGAAATATACCGAAATTTAATAATGCAGATGCAGTTAGGTCATGAAATTACATATCCCTAATCCTGTTTTACTTTTAAACCATAATTAACTTAGCTACTTTGTAGTGTCTCTTCAAGAAATCTCTCTTGAAACCTGCCAGCCCAAACATATTTAATATTCAGGGATGAATTACCGCTCTCAATGTAGAGCAAGGAAAACATTAATGGGTTCCTTTTATATATATATATATACATACACATATATATATACACACCTCTCTGTGTGTGAATGTATATTTATCATATCATATACATATTATATATATATATATATATATATATATATATATATATATATATAAAAAATTTAGTTATTTTCAAGTAACAGTTATTTATCACCGTTCCATACACATGCTCTGTGCATGAATGCACCTTACGCAGCAACATCAGCAAACCTAAGGATTCAGCCAAACAGCACAGAGGTGGATGTGAGTCTGGCCACACATGCTTCTCAGCAGCTGAATCTGCTTAAGCAGTGCCGGCCTTCACCGCAGGACTCGCTCCCACCCTTAAGCTGGTGTACAGCGTCTTTTCAGACATACCAAGACAACTTCAGTGGACCATACCATGAATTAAATCAGGTTATAGTTTTAATCTACCGAAACTGGGGAACGTAAATTCTGTGGGGAAAGACTGAAAGAAGACAAAAGGGCAAGCAAAGAGAACAGCATATATTGCTGAATTCTTTTTGAATGGCTCAGCAAAGCATGGCCACGTTGTAAAAGAAATAAAATAATCACAGCCTAGTAATACCTCAAAATATTGCTTACTTATCTCCCTACCATCCCTGCTCCACGTCTCCCAGACTCCTGGAACAAAAGACTATCTGAATTTTGTGTTAAAATAAAGTAAGATTATACTTAATTAGTTTTTCTATCATTAAGTAAATACTAGATAGATCTTAATGCTTTATTTACTGACTCCTGACCCTGCTCATAAGTATTTCATTTCTCATATTTCACGAAGACAGCTCAATTTGCTGAAAATATGAATATTCTGTGAATCTTTGGAACTTGTTGTAAGTAACAGAGAAATGACATTTATTACACGTGCATCTAAGAAGTTCATGTACCTAATACAAAGTATATTTAATGGGTCAGTAAAATATTAAAAAAAGCATTCCTTGTTAAGACTGGCTTTTAACAAATTACTGTTGGGGGGAAGAAAAAAACAACAAACAACTCAATCCAGTGAAAACACAAAGTCAAAACAATCTAACTTTGCACATAAAACTTTCCAAATATGTTTTCAGTCTGAATTGGTAACAAAAGAAAAATACAAATAAAACCATAGTTTTGCCATAAAGTATATCACACAGCAGTTCCTAAAAAATAATAAATTATGTAATGCATCAACATTATTTTAGAGTTGGTTTTAATATAAAAACAAAATGCAGAGACATCCAAATATCATCTGACTTCATCATCTGTGCAAGTGTCTTAATAAGTAATTCTACAGGAAAATGTAAAACAAGAGAAGTTACAAACTTACGCATGTGGGCAAATGTATTTTACATGGGGGCTTTTGATACCAGCAAGTGCTTCTGACCATCCATGCCTGTTAACAGAAAATGCATTAAAAGGCATTTATGTTTTGGCTTAGCTCTTATTTCTGTGTTGGTGCAACAGCACAGAGCAAGTATGAAATATGCTGAGCTAGATCAGTCTAAATACATTCCTTGAAAATTTTTACATCAACTATAGTATGCTGTGAATATAGTACTAAACTTAAAAGGTTTGTTCTGCCTCTGAATATTTATTGCATATGTACAGCCAGGGACACTTTATCTGATTTGACTATCATAGCTGCAGCACAGCTGCAAAAAATACCACTTTGGCTCTAGGCAAAGCCTGCTCTGTATCTGGATGGGTTTATTAACTTGGATGCTACAAATAAGAACACAGGTAACCTGCTTCCAGGCAGCTCTAGCCCAGAGGCTGCTTTGCTGCTCCTGTAAAAGCAGCTTCTTTCTCAGACACCTTTGCTTTTTCTGAACCAAACTTATTGATGGGGGAAGAGTAGCGAACTGACATCTAACTCCACATGGAACCAACCTAAGCAATCAGACCTATTAACTCAGCTGACCTGTAAGAGTTCAGCTCAAATGCTCTCAGATTCAGGCAGTCCTGAACAACACTCCAGATTGCCAGTAGTTTTTTAATCTCAAGCACATACTGTATGAATGCACAGAACAACATGCAATCTGGAGAGCAGATCAGTTATCAAGTGTCTTACAAACCAGAAAACTGGAAAGCATCATTTAAATAAACAGCTCTGAAAGGCTCACTCCAGGGCTAGATGATCCTGTCTAGATGATCTAGACATGAACTGAGATGGACTCAAATCCGAACCTGTCTGGAATCACTGCCTGTGCCTGCACTTAGCTTTTCAGAACACTCAATAGTACCTGTACTTCCTGGGTTTTCTCATTATTCAGTATTTCTAACTCACCCACTAAACTAGATGATGGAAAGTTGATTCTAAGCAGAAAACACCTGTAACATTCACATTTGTGAAACATGCTTTTATGGCTTGCCTGCTGTTGTCCTGATTACTTCAGCATGTTTGCTTTAGTTTTAATTTTCACATCATCCTGAAAAGTTAAATGTATCCTACCTAAAGACATTTCAAACACACAGACAGGACAGATATTTGAAATGCTGGCTGTGTATCTCAGCCTGCTTCCTACCAATACATTTATAAATACCATTAATAAACTGTGGGTGACATTACTTGCATAATATTTGCAGTATCATGGAAGGCCAAATAAGAATCTACAGGAGAAATATGACTGAGAAAAACTATTTAGGTAAGAATTGGGGAATTTTTTTTAGCCAACTATAAACATTAATTTGAAAAGCAACATTGTATACATATTTATGCAGACTCTTTAGAACAATCCTCTGTGTTGTACCTTCTGTTCAGATTTTGACAAGTATGTACCAATCACTAAGTGTCATTTATATAGGAGTTTAGAGGGAAAAAGAACATAACCTCTGTTAGACACTTCTCAGAGTAAGAAAGATACTGTTGGTAAACTGAAATGAGCAATTCAAAAATTCACGTGAAGTATAACAGGTTGGGTTAAACTGTGGGCAATTAGTTTATTAGTTCTCTTCAGACAATTCTTTTTTGGGTCACTACTACGGCCTTTTAGAAAAAAAAAAAAGGCAGTATGTCAAAGGCAGTTGTAGCTAATCTGAGCTGCAGAGGACTAGAGGAACAAACGCAGCTAAATTGCTGTATTTCCACAGAGGTGTTAGGACTTGTTAATGCATACACTGCAGTACACCCAGTGCAACTGCAAGACTGAGATCGTGTTAGTTTTGTCACCAAAATGGAAATACCACATTCGTATGAGGAACACAATTTATGTTAAAGAGCAAATCTCTGTGGTCTTCTCCCATTGCCAAAACCAACATCAACCTGATTTGCAAGGACTCAAACCCCAAAGACTCAAAAGATTCTGCAATCACTTGCTGAACATTTGGTGCCAAGATGCAGGCAGTAAATGCCGCCTCAGCTGCATCCTACCAGCAGAAAGGAAGAGGGATTTGTGTGTCAGCACAACTGAGAGCAAACATCTCCACTTGTAGAATACTGCCAAGTGCATGGACTTGACTGGTTTTTTACTAATTAACTGTCCAGGTTATGCAAGTTTCAGTTCCAACAGCTGCCTTTTTTTTAGTTCTTCTGAAAAAGTTTGTCTTAAACATTGCAAGTTTCAACCCAGGGGCAATATTCATGTTCCAGGTAACAAAAACTTGTTAAAAAGTATGTCATTCTGCCCATAAGCAAGCACAATAGATAAAGCATTCAAGCATTCATGCTGCTTATTTTCAGTACCTAAGCGCCCATTCCTTTAAAGTCTTCCACCAAAAAAAAGTTTCAACACACTCCTAACTTGTTAATTCAATAGTTTTAATGAATATATGCTTATATCTCCGCACACACAAGCTTCAAATGGAAATATTACACCACACCTAGGCGCCTTCCAGAAATTCCCTACTCCTTCCATTTCTACTTAAACATGGAAATAACAGGAACAAGACAAACAGGGTATTTCACAGCCTGTTTGAGGTTATTTTTGGAGTCTGAAGACAATATTTCAGATAGAGAAATCTGTAGACATTAGGCGACTACTTAGCAGCTTACTTACGTTAAAATCCAGACGTACTTGATTTACCTAAGTATGACATAATGAAGAAGAAACCATGGGCTAACTACAACTCCTGGCAAGCCAGAAATCCAGAAGTCCAGAATAAACATAAAAAAAAAAAAAACAAAAACAAAAAACACCAAAAAAAACCAACGAACTCTAAATTTAGACAAGCACAGGAATAACCGGGAACCCACTCTCAGGAAAGTGAAAGATCAGAAACCCATAGGCTTCTTTTTCCACCAGTTTGACTAAAGTGAGGGATCACATTCAGACTAAATTAGGTAAGCAATTGAAAAGAAAGAAGAAAAAGCTTTTGAAGACTTATGCTGGGAAATTTTAAATAGAGTTGTCACCATCATTGCAGCATACATGAAGTTTTGTGTGCTGTCAGCCACTGCATTCAATTAAGGGCCAAACAAGCTTAAGTAACTATTGACTGCTCACATCTTTAAATCATGCAGCTTCACGCTTGAAACTGTAATAACTATGAAGTATGAAATAAACCAGAATACACACCCAGTATCTCCCAATCCGTGAAGAAAAATGACCTAAAGGGGGAAAAAAACAAAACCACAACGTAGTGGTGTAAGATCACTAAACAATTAACGCACCTACCCCCCCACCCCGTGCTACAGTCGGCCACACAGCTGGGAGCACGACAGCACTTTCTCAACAGAAAACTCAGTTCCCTTCACTTCCCACCCCAGGCCTCCCCGCCGCCATCAGCGGGCGCACCCCGCCCTCGGCCGGCGCAC